AACCATCGGGCTGGTGACAGCCATGCGCAGCGTCACCCTGAAGGCATCGCCCAGTCCATCGCTAGGAGGAACAAAGGCTACATCCGCAGTACACTGGCTCAGACCTGACCCCGAGGGGCGTGCCACGGGGAAGATGAGATTCACAGCGTTGACCTCCGGAGCCACGGCATCCAACACCAAGGGAGCACTGTCCACTTCGAGTTGCTGGCCCTGAAAGCCTCGGACAGTGACGCGAAGACGATAGCGCTGGCCGACAGACATGCTCAGCGCCAGCGTCTCGCGCTGCATCAACTCACAAGCCGTTGCATTACCCGCAACCTGTCCGGTGGCGTCGTCGATCAAGGCGGCGTGCACGTCGCGTACCACGCCCGTGTCCTCCGACTCGAGCTGCACTGTAAACGAGATTGCTGGCGTCAAAAGGCGGTAAACGTCCGCAAAACTAGCTTCATGCACCTGTAACTCAACCTCGGGAAGGGAGTCTGGCCGCAGCACCACCGGTTCGCCCAGCACCGTGCTGCAGAAGCCGAGTTCGTTGCAGACAGTCCAGCGCGCGAAGATGACGGCGGACAGTGGGATGACGTCCAGCTCCACGATCACGTCAACTTGATGCGAGGCCAGCGCACGACCACGCCGGGTGAAGATGACCTCATCGTGTTCAGCTCCGGAAGTAGCACCACTCTGCGTAGCACTGCTCGCGCTCGGGCGCACAAGGTCGAGCGTCCAGGCGTGGTAACGATCGTCTGCGAGAGGCGTGTAGTCCGTGGATAGAATGGAAAAGGTAATGGCCTCTTCGCTCACCTGCGTCTCTTTGAGCTCGACTACAGGCTGGGTCGAGTCAATGTAGACGGCTGGGTGGCAGAAGCGCGCTTCATTACCCAGGCGATCCAGGACCAGCAGCCACACAAAGAGTGGTGCATGGTGAGGCGCACTGGTAATGTTGAGCGTACCGTTGCGCTCCAGATACAGGTCAACTGCTGTGACACTGGGCAAGAAGCAGTCGCCACCCATACCCACCACGGCGCTTGACAGTCCCACACCCGACGCGTCGGTGGCCGACCAGGCAAAGTCCAAAGCCCGGGGAGTCGTGATGATCGAGCCATTAAGGCCGGCAATGGAAAGAGCCAGGTCAGCGGGCGCTGCGGCATCCAGACGCCAGGGCTGTTGACGTGATGGTACCGTGCAGTGGCCATGGATATCGCAAGCTCGCAAGCGCAAGCAGCCCGCAACAGCAGCAACAGGCTGGGCTAGGTTGGCCGGCAGCGCGGTCCAAGGACCCTCGGTATGGCAGGGGCCTATCTCATACTTGGCAATGGCAGACAGCTCGTCCTGGTAGCCCCACACATCTAGTCGTAGCGTAGGCTGTGCAATCCAGGCCGTCCCGTCAAGCGTCACCGCGTCGCGTAGTGTGAAATCGCCGGCCGAAGGAGGCTGGACATCCACACGGAAGCCGCGGTTGAAGGCGGTGGTGCTGACACCGGCGCGTGTTGTGCCCACCACAGCGGCATACAGCAACGTTCCTCCAGGCATGGCCACGGTGACATCATAGCAGCCAGCCGTTGTGACTTGACGGCTGCTGCCCAGCATGACTAGCGTGGAGTTACTCGTCGAGACTGCGAGCTTGTAGGCATGCATTCCGCTGTGCGCACTGACAAAAGCATCCAAGCAGATGGTGACCTGGTCGTCACGTCCGATAACAGGTAGATCAGCTCGGCGCGATACGAAAACAGCACCGGCCACGGGCGCGATCGAGTCGATCAGTGCGGGTGAGGAGGTGGTAATGCTGGAAAGGCGACCCACGTTGTCCTTGGCTCGCACATGTGCGCACACCGTGGCACCATCGGGCAGGTTCAGGTCTTGTGCTAGCATGGACAAGGTGCTCGGAGTCAAGTTGAACCAAGTCATGTACTTGGTCAAGACACCTGCCGCGCCACAATCCCCCAAGGCCACCTGATAGGCGGCGAGGCCTGAATGCTGGTCTGAGCCCGCGGTAAACGCCACGTTGATGGCAGCGGTCGCAGATTGATATGCGGTGCTATCCCCCAACGTGACTGAGCCGGGCCGCGATGGATTCACACCGTCAACACGTACGGCAGCGCTCGTGCACACGCGTTCGTTGCCGGCACGATCCACCACGCTCAGTTGTGCCGTGTAGGCCACCCCGGTTTGCAAAGTGAAGCAGCTAGTCCAGGTGGCTACTGGCTGTGACTTGACGTCCACGTGAGCACCGCTGTTGTAATTGAGCGTTAGTTGCGAGATTCCGCTGCCCGCGTCCACCAGGCCGCTCAGGGCCAGTTGAAGGCAGCTCGTATCCGATTGCCATTGCTGATCTGGTGAGTCTGAGCTAGGCACGAGGGTGCAGGGCTGCGGAGCCACGGTATCAACAAAGACGCTGGTTGATACAAAACCATCATCTTCGTGCCCGGCATTGTCCTCGACGCGCAGTTGAACGGCATAGCGCTTGTAGTTGGACAGGGTCAAACCAGTGAGCTCGTTGCTTCCGGGCTGAACCACGCGATAAGCGGCTGCTTCAGCCACAAAGGCGTCAATCTCGTCGACCTCAATGACGCGGGCATAATAGGCCCGCACGCCCGAACCTGCACCGTCTGACGCCGTGGGCACATTGATTGTAAGAGCGTTGGTCTTCTTGACAAAGCCAGCCGTCGGCGTCGTAATACTGGGATCGTCCACCGATGGGGCACGGAAGTCAGCAAGAGCAGCATCAGCAGTGACGGTTGTGGAGAGGCCTGCCGGGTTGGCGGCGCGAATCTGCACGGTGTACCAAGAGCCGTGCTCCAGGATGGTGGGCGTGCTTAGCACATAGCCCGGGAGATTCGGGTCCACATCGACCGCAGCCCAGGGCCAGGGGCAGGATGTTGTTGCCCCGGAAGCAGCTGCATTGCACATGCGCCACTCAAAGGACAGGGCGGTGGGTGGCAAACGCAGGTTGCTGTCGCTAAAGCCCGAAATGTTGACGCGCAACATGTCGTCGGCAAGCAGGTGGGCAGGGAGTGTGACCGTGCCGGCCACTGGGGCCTGTGAAAGAATCTGAAAGTCACTTGTGGTGACGGTTCGCACGTTGCCGGCCTTGTCTGAGGCGCTCAGGCGAGCCTGTAGTGCGTCTGTTGCCTGGAAGTTGCCCGTCACACTCACTTGCACTGTCTGCCCCACATTGGTCAGGGTGGCACTGCCCAAGGCCGATGTGGTGCCAGTCTTGACGATGGACACGGTAACAGATTGCAGACCACTGATGCTGTCCAGGCATTCATATGTGACGGGCACGGTGGTAGAGGCGGTGTAGGCGCCGGTTATACCGAGGCTCAGCGTACAGGCTGGAGCAGTGCGATCTACGACCACAACATGAGAGCAGACCCGTTGCTGCACCGTGTACTGCGAGGATTTGGCGGGCTGCATGCTCCGGAAGCGAACGACGGGGGTGTAGCGGCCCTCGCTGCCGGCCGTGAGAGCGACACTGGTGGCCTGGCCTGAGTTGATGGTCTTGCTCACCGCAGCGCTCAGGTCGGCCGTGCTGACGTCGGTAGGCGCACAGGGGGCTTCGTGTGCAACCAAAGCAACGCTGGCTGTCATCGTGCCGCACGCCACCGAGGCAGTGACGCTGGCAGTCACGGCGGTTCCCTTGACGTAGAGCACCTTTTGGGAGCTTTCGGTCTGTTGGCCCGAGAGAGAAAAGTAGTTGGCACCGATAGAGACGACAGGGTTCGTAAAGGCATCGGCCGGGCAAGACGGCCCGCTGCCGGGGCAGTATTCGGCGGCGTCGCACACGTCAGTCGAGGCGCGACAGCGGGTGGAGCTGGGGTAGTAGGTGCGCGTGCACGATCCATCGCCCACCGACTGGGGAGGATCCTCGCAATTTTGTCGGGTAGGGCAGGTCACGGGGTCGCCAAAGCAAACACCTTGCGCCGTGCACACGTCCCACATGCCATTGGGCGCTCCCACCACGGGGGACGCCGTCCAGGCGTTGTTGTCCGTGCAAGGGGTGCCCGTGCGCGCGGTCCAAGAAGTGGTATCTCCACGCGCAATCGCGTAAACATCGCATCGCAGGCAGTAATTGCTGGGATTGACGCTGTTGTGCGCGTAGACAGTGCCCCCGATTTTACAGGCAAAGTTGCCGCTGGCATCGTAAGCAATGCGATCGGCCAGGCTGGACTTGATTCGACAGTCGTTGGGCGGGGCTGAGCCCGTGCAACTCTCAAAGGTGCTATCACAGACAGCTTCACTCGCCACACATTGGCCCGTTGTCGTGCAGCGTGGGTTGTACAAACACGGGTTATTGTGAGCGTTTTGCTCGGTCACGCAGCGCGAGTTATCATTGGGCGTTGGCGTCCAATCGATAGCCGTGCTGCTGGGATCGCATTTCTATCATCCAGTTTAATACAACAATGAGGCATGCAGCTCGACATGAGTGAGCGTCATATGACAAGCTGCAAATGACTTGACCAACAGGGTTTGAACGAAGCGGGGGGGGGGGGGGGGGGGGGGGGAAAAAA